GTTTACGACGTTCAAGTCCCTATCTCGCAGACACGTCCTTTAGATAGTGACTTCTAGGGCTATGTTAGGCAATATCTTCACTCTATTCCAGTCCCTTTTGAGTCCCTAAAATGCGATATTTGCAGCATTTCGCGCACCACGCCCCAAAAAACGTCGATATATACGCAATTTTTGCGCTGCGACATGTTCTTTTCTAGATCGAAACTGGCGAAAATATTGTAATTTACAGTGTTTTGCGCCTGGGCGCAAACCGAAAAAAGGCTCCAAAGCTGCCCCTGTAAGGCCCAAATCCAGCAGCTCCTTTCCAGGTCCCAAATTTTTTTGCCCAACTTGCCTATTTTTTCGCCGACTTTTTCGACATCACAGAGTTTCCAAAAAAGGCCTCTCCCCCACCAGGCTCAAGGATTTTACTACACTTCTTGTTTTCCCGTTTGTTTTGGTGGGGCAAAAACGGCTCGAAATGCAAGTGAGAGCACAACTTTTTAAGCTCGATTTCAATAAACACCAAAAGGGGGGTTCCCGACATCGGGAGCACCCCCCCCGTAGCTAAAGCTAGAGGCGATCAGCTCCACCATACAGCGTCGCCGGAATGGGCTAACGCCCGAGGGCCGCCGACCGACCCCAATTTGGAGCAAGTAAGACAAAGGCGCCCACGGAACAAGCAGGCAGGAATGAAAGGAAAGGAAAAGGAAGCAAAAGCGCATGAAAAGGGATCAAAAGGAGATCAAGAGGGATGGAAAGGAAATGAGCAGGCTTCAAAAGAAATCATAAGGAACTACCAAAAGGATGTCCAAAGGAAGCAAAAAGATATCAAAAGGAAAGAAGAGAAAACCAAACGAAAACGCTAGGAAGCAAAAGGAAAGGAACAGGGGCGCAAAAGGAATGAACAGGAATCAGAAGGACATCGCAAGGAAGGAAAGGGATGAAGAAGAGGAACGCAAAGGGAAGCGAAAGGAAATTACATGGAACTCAGATGCAAGGACAAGGAAGGAAAGGGAAAACAAAAGAAAACGAAAAGGACCCAAGACCCAAAAGGAAAACAATAGGAGAATAGGAGGTCAGACAATCAAATGCAGCAGAAGTACACCCCTCCCAGAGCATACCCAGCTGTAAAGCTCCCAGGTTCCCACAAAGAATTCAATGAAGCGGAGGAAGCTGCAATGACCTGCAGAAAGGTAACCATAATCCCCCTGGCTGGAAACCAGCCATTCCTAATGGCTGGCTGGTGGTAGATCTTATGGCGTTACGCAGCTAAAGTCAAAGTCAAACGTTTTTCCTTAGCCTGACAATGTCTGTGCAATGTTGTATCTTGTTTGTTTGTGCTAGCGGAAAATGACCAGCTGCACATCTTGATCATAAATGTTGTTCACAATGATGAAAGCCATTGGCTTCTCACCCACTTCTTCCACCTTGTCATCCAAAATCACCCAGTAGAGGCTATCATATGCCCAAACATGGTCATCTTTGAGCCAAGGATCAGGGCTTGCAACCCGATCCCGAAGCCTTTGGATGGGCTCTTGCGCTGAAAAGAGCTCTTCAAACACAATCTTTTCAAGGAGTAACGGGAATGGCTCAGTCATCTTCTCAAATCGGTCATAGCAAACTTTCTCCAGAATTGCAAATTTAGTGAAGCCAAATTTCGGCTGTGGCAATGCAATCTCAAAACCTTGATTGATGTAGTTGGCTGGGCGGGCGTAGTAGTTGAAATGACTCCCACCAGTTAACTGCACTATTATGCAAGAAAACAGAAACAGAAACTAGTGCTACTTTTGCAAAGCATTCAAACCTTCAATTTTCAGAGCAAGACACTGTCACATTGGGTTGTTTCAGCTGTCACATCAAGCTCCATTGTCAGTGGTGCAAGCGCTAGAGGCAGAAGAAGCTTCAATGCAACTGTCAAACATCTGCTCTGAACAGTCAAAGTCAAAGCTGCGGAACAAACCTGTACTCAAGCAAACTCAATCAAAACACACCCAACCATACAAATGCCAGAGTAAAACAAAGTCAAGCCTGCCTCGTTCAACTTGCTTCCTTGCAAGGCCTTGATCAGCAAAGTGCAGCCAACATTGCTATCGCTGACATTTGTGTGAACATGTCAATGACAGACTCAGGTTGAAAGAAGGGTTGAAAGATAATGAAATTGGCCCGGCCTCAGACTCCAAGGATGCTCCACCATCACCCATGCTCGGGCACTGAGTTATGTCTTCATTGTTTGCAGGTTAAAGTCGTTTCTTTAGCTTCATTGTTTGATTGACTGACTAAAGGCAAGTCAAAGTCAAAGAAAAGGCAAGGTCAAAGAAAAAGGCTATCAAATGCATAGACAAGGCTGCAAAAAGAAAGAAACACAAAAGAAAGCAACTCAAGGCTGAAGTCTTAAAGTTTGCGTTTGTCAGTTTCAAAGTCAAGGTTGAAGTCAAGAAAAGTCAAAGTCATTAGTCCACTCTCTCTCTCTCTCTCTCGCACTCTCTCTCTGTCTGTCTCACTCTCTCTCACCACTCTCACACTCACTCTCAGTCAAAGCCTCCAATGACCAAATTTCACAGTCAATTTTCAATTTACAAACCAGACCAGGATCACATATTTTCAAAAACCTTTTGTTGAATAACAGTTTGATCTCAACAAAGCAATTTATACACTGCGCCCACGTGGTAGTACGTGTGCAACCTTTCTGGCTCAGAACTTTTCCAAAACATTTTGTTAAACACATATAGCTCTGAGACAATTGGGCTTGTGTAATTTTGGAAAAGACATCTACGTACCCCCACATCTGTGTACCAAAACGGTTTCGCTGAATCAACCAACCAATCCAACCCCTGCATCAAGTTCAAAGAAAGTCAACTGAACAATCCAACGGGATCCCTGTGATTTCAAGCACTGGCACACACGCGCAATGTGAACGAACGCTGGGTGCCAGAGCCGTGGGCCAGTGCCTGACGTTGCCTTCGAAACCCTATAGAAAGAGGTGTCCAGAATAAGCCCCAGGGACCAGGACAAGCCCGAGCTATCTGCGAAAGGCAGCCTATGGCCGGCTGGACCACGCCATGGCGCTGGGAGCAGGAGGGGGCAACCGTTGCTCCAGGATAAGCCCCAGCGACCAGAACAAGCCCAAGGTAGCTGCCAAAGGCAGCCTATGGACCACGCCAAAACCTCGATCTCGCCACGCTGAAACACTCTGGCCCTGGACGTTTTAACGGAGCAGGGGGCGACCGTTGCCAGTGGCTGACGTTACCTTAGAAGAGGTGTCAAGCGAGCCCCAGGGACCAGGACAAGTCCCGGGTAGCTGCGAAGCAGCTCCACCAGATGCTTAGGGTCCTGCCAAAGGCAGCCTCTGGCCAGCTGCCGATGACGGAGCAGGGGGCGACCGCTCCCAGTGCCGGATGTTGCCTTCGAAGCCCTACATAGAAAAACTTAAAGAGTGTCCAGGCGAACCCCAATAACCAGGACAAGCCCCAGGTAGCTGCAAAGCAGCCTCCGCGAGATGCCCACGGACCAGAGGGGCCAGAGCAGGCAGGTGGCAATCGCTGCTCGCTACGCTGTCCCAGGCGCCGCCCCGCCTAGGCGTCAGCTGGTTGCCACCCCCGCACCTTTAAGCGTGGCATTGCTGAAGGTGTCAAAGGAGATCGCTGCCATCACTGCTCTGCTTATCATGCCAGGACCCATGCTAGAAGTTTTGGAAGGAGCAGACTCCTCACCACCCTTCTTCACACATGTACTGAAAGCTCCTTTGCGTGAAGCCTTAGTTCTGCTGGAGTCAGACTGGATAGCAAAGCCGCACCTGCCAAGGCAATTCCACACGTGTTCTCAGTGTAGGCGATCGTGTGCACTATGTGTGTGGCGCAATGGGCACCGTGAAAGGCTTCGACGAAGATGGAACCTTGTGCTGTCAGACTTGCCTTTTCTGCGAGCTGGAAGAGTTAAGCCTTGAGAGAGTTTTTCTGAAAGAAAATCGCCCTTAAAGAGTTAAAACCATTCGGTTCAGGGAGGGAAGAAGCTGCGAAGCCTAGGAGATGTGATTGTGCACAAAGAGGATGGAAAACAATCCGTGTGGTACACTCAAAATAGTCCTGCCCTCAGGAGTTTCAATCTTCGTTTTGCAGTGCAAGTTTCAAGTCTTGTCCCTAAGTTTCATCGACTGCCGCAATAGAACTCAGTTTGTAACCATCACTGTCTTCGGTTCGCAGCCAAAGGGGGCCTTCATTGAAGAGACCGAACTTTAAAACACAAAAAGGAAAAAACAAACAGAAAAAGCATTTGAATTAATTAAATAACGAAAAGACAAACGCAAAAAAAGGTCACGCGGCCCGCAACGACCCCGCGCGAAACGTGTACTTTTTCCAAGGCACGGTGAACGTTTTGAGAACCCTTATATAATCTTATATATTATGCAGCGTTTTCGGCTGTCTGGCATTTTAAGGCACGTCTTCAAAGTACTGCGTTTTGCAAAAGACAGTTGCGTGTTTGTCCCGTTTACAGTTGAATTTTGAGATGAAAATGGGTTCCCATTGCCAAACAACTGGGAAATCTTTCAACAAATGGTGCTAGCCACCAGACGTCCGAGTTCTCTCAAGTGGTCACGCGACCCCCTAAAGAGAAACGCACACTCTTTCTTCATCGAACGTACGTCAACCACACTTTCCTTATCCCGTAAACAACGATGTCTTCAAGTTACGTAGACATGACACGCAGCTCACCAGTCTTCCAAAAACGGAAAACATAGATACCGAAGGTTATGCTCCTACCAAATCCACGCCCAGAAAATTTGCGCATGAATTCACATGAATTCGGAGGGCCACTTGGAAGACAGTTGTAGCATGTTGTAGCTATTAGCAAAAAACGCTAGAACCACAAAAACAAGAAAACAAAGCAAACAACTCCAAGGAAGCTCTCCCTGCCCTTAAGCTGGGGAGTTTCTTTCAAGTACCCGAGCTTTTTTGTGTCCCTTTTCTACTCTTTGCCACTTATTACTTTGCTTCGTAGTCACTCATAAGTCTATATACTTAGTTCTTCTCCTTCGCTTCTTGACCTTCTCCCGCGAAAGGACTCTTGAACTCCATCTGTTTTCTGAGGCCGTGAAGGCCTTGGCCCCCTGGGCCAAGCCTTGACGGAAGTTCCAGAAGCTTTGCCATAGGCCTGCTGGCTTCAGCACCCCACTTGGTCTTTGTTCGTAATTCGCCTGTCCCAACAGAGCAACATTTTTTTGAACTTGATTGTACGTATCCCATGATGTGCAAAATAGAGCTCTTGCCTTGCCTTGGCCAGGATTGGCAATTGGCTTGCAATGGTTGTAGTGCAGCATTCGATGCGCTTGTAGCATCCTCGACCCTTGCAGCTTGAAAATTGGGCAGCAAGTGGCCACGTTTGAGCTGCTTTAGAAAGAACAAGTGGCTGTCTTTGCTTGAACAGCTTTGGGAATAACAACTTATCAATTCCCAGAGCTTTCACAAGAGACTTAGACTCACCAGAACATTATATGTATATATACATATGTACACATACATACATACATACATCGCCCTCTGCGTGCACACCTTCTCATTGGGCACACTTTTGAGGAAGGGCACCATCACGGGCATGGCACCAGGTCCACAGACCAAAGCTCGTGCACTCTTCCAAGGGCTCATCACCTTGGCCCAGTTTGTGGCCACACCGATCAATGTGATCGTCCAGTTGGGCTCAGTTTGGGAGGCGTGGACCAACCCAAGGAAGCGGAAAGGATTCGAGGACCTGGCCAAAGGTTTTGATGACCACTTTTTCCACCGCATCACACCCCTCTACATCCACAAGAACCAGAGGACACCAGACACACCGGGCAGCGAGCCACACTTAAGGAGGAGGCAGCGAGATGCCACCCTGGCTGCCTATGAACGAGCCTCCACACTGTATGACCGGCAAGCAGAGGACTGGCAGAAGACCTTGGACCAAGACCACCTGCAGATCTATAAGCAAGCTGCAGCAAGACTCGAAAAGATCTACCGTGATCCACAACACTACCTCCACGACAAACCTGTACGGAGTGCAGGGCACACAACCAAGCAATACAAGAAGCGCCTCATCACCCAGTGCAAGGCGCCATGGCAGCCCAACAAGCACCAATGGGTGCCCCATCGGAGTGGCTACCAATGCCAAACCTGCCATGCTCGAGTCCATCAGGCCCTTACGGTTGAAATCATTGAGGGACTCCTCCAACAGGACTGTGAACTCCTATGAGGCTCCTGAACCAGACCTTCGGCCTGACAAACCAGTTGGCCAAAAGGTCACCAGAGCCGCCACCATCAAGCGGTTGCTTGAAGTGCAGCAGCAACACCCCCAAGCAGCCGACGAGCACACCTTTCAAGAGACAACCGGCTACCTCAAGTGCGCCAAATGCAGCCTTTCAGTTCACAAACGAACCAACGAAGAGAGTTTCCAGGCTTTCCTTCACAGCAGGTGCATCGATGAAAGCTATGTCAAAGGCCATGATGGCCACACCAGCCATGCACTCTGGCAAAAGGGCAAAGGCATCAAATGCCTGAACTGTGGGACACAAAGTCACCTAGATGCCGCAGACCGAGTGGTTTTGACCAAGGCACTCTCCAAGGAATGCCAAGGCAACACACAACGGTCACCGACCTTGCTTCAGATCTTTAGCGCCCAGGCCTCGCACAGTCAAGCCACAACTGTGGGCGGCCCACCAGCGGCCAAACCAACCGGCCATGAACCCCAGCCAGAGCCAGCTTCACCAGAGACTGGCACGACCAACCAGCCAGTCATGTCACCACCGGCTCCCAAGAAGCTGCGGTACACCCAAGCGGACACCCCTCCGGCAGAGGCAGAGGATGAGGAGGAGGACCCACCAGAGGACGACACCATGGTGGTGGACTTTTTCTAAACCTCGCCCTTCTGAGCCAGGGAACCGCACTGAGGCAACATGCCTAGCAGACCGGCAAAGTCCCAGCACCACAACTCTAGAAGAAAGAAATACATACATACATACATACATACACACTTTACACATACTGTACCCCTTGGGAGACACGGGCAGGCCAGCAAAGACAGCCGAAACTATGACTTTTCTGACTGCACTTTCGCGCTATGTGCACTGTGCACCACGTGCAGCTAGATGACAATTCAGTCGTGCTTTCTCGCTGTGTCAGCGACCAATCCTCGTCACAGATCGGGCGTTTGCGCCAACAGAAGGTCTAGATGACCGGGCAAAGCCCCTAGCCGCCGCTCCATGCTTGAGCACCCAACAGCACCAGACAGCACAAAAAGGGAGGGAGAATTGTGGTAGACATAGTTGAGCCTTTCGTCATTGTTTGTGATTGTGGATGTCCACCCTTTCGTTTTTGGTTTTCTTTTGTTTGTAGCGGTGGCTCGTTGACGGGTTCGAACAGAATCCTATACATATTTTTCAGTTGCACTGCCATCTCAGGTGAAGTGGTGGTGTACGACAAGGAACAAATCCGCCTCAAATTGAATGCCCAACAGAAGTTTCATCCCAGAGTCAGCGTCGTTTCAATCTTCAGCTGTGAACTGCAGTCTTTGCAAGAGACGATTTGGATTTCTTGCCCTCCAGGACCAATGCTACCCGGAATTCCTTCTCCTCTATCGGCGCGACTTCAGCTGATGGTAAGGGCAAAAGCCTTAGTCTTACAAGGTTGCGGGTTTTGTTTCTTGAGTTGAAATTATTTTGGCTAACAGCTAGTGTCTTTGGTTCTTCTCAGCTCTTGCAAAAGTCTCCACAATATCATGGTGGGGGGGTTGAGCTGAATGTGATATGCGGACCTATTCTTTCTCGCTTCGATCGGCCCCGCACCATTCCCAGTCTTGCTAGTAGGAAGGCACTTGTTCCTAGTAGCTTCTTGTTACTACTAGTAAGGCACCTGTTACTACTAGCGTGGCACCTGTTACTAGTAGCTTCCTAGTGGCATGACTCCTTTCACTCACTTTCTCATTTCAGGCCTGATTGGATGGTAAAGATGCCAAGATGGCGCCGCCTTCAGCCGCGCAAGAGTTCCTCGCCAGAACCTTTTTCTTCAGATGCCGCGGATGCTATGCAGGGTCCGTGGATCCAAGAAGAGAATGTGTTTGCCGAGCATTTCTTGGAGCTTCCTGTTGCTGTACAGTTTCAACAGGTTCCACACAAGAAGGCTGTGACCGTTGATCTTCTAGTTGCCCACCTTCTCAACACAAGTCCGGATTTTGCAAGACTTGTTTGACACTACGTTTTGTAAGATTATCCGAGCCTCTGCCTCCTGTTCAATCGGGATCCTACTCACAGCCAGGGTGACGAATTCATTTGTGACCATGGGAGTGTGAAGAAGCTGTGATGGTCTGAGAGCCACTACATCCTGCAACATGACATCGCCAACATTGCTCCTAGTAGTAAGGCCAGGAGACCCTAGTAGCGTCCTTGCTCCTAGTAGCGATGCCAGGAGCCCCTAGTAGCTATGCCCTTATTTGAGGATGGGTGACAGCATTCCACCTGACGTCAAGTTTTTCAACAAGTTGTTCTTTGGCTGACTCCACACCTGACTCGTACTCGGGAGGTGTTGTTGCCTTTCACTTGATATTTTCTGAGCAGGTGCCATTTGTGGCTCGTTGTGGCTCATTTCTGCCATTCGTCTTCTTCACTGGCATGTGACTGCAGGGGTGATCACAAATGGACGACCGGATGACCAGAAGCTGCTCACAACATCGGTTTAGCTTGTCCATACTCTTTGTCCACAATCAATGTGCAAAAGACAAAAGGCACTAAAGACATCTAAAGACTGAAATATCCTGTTGTGTGGAGTTAAAGCTCAATCACTCAAAGAGTTCGTCACCAGATCACTCTGGAGTGGCATGCCTGATTTGTGCTTCCAAGCACTTCCATCAAAGGGTCCACCTGGTTTGGGTGTTGGAGAGCTATCACCCAGGTGTTTTCCAATATCTCCGAATCGGGGCAGAGGCTCCAAGCCGATCTGCTAGTTGTACATGACTTGCTCACGAAATCATGGCACATTCGCAGATACATGGATCATCCAGAGACCAACATTCTTGTTGTCTTGGGTTTTAGGTCCTTTTGCTGAGTCGCCAGCGGACCAAACCTGCCGTTCGCAGTGCAAGCAGCTACATGCACTGCGTGATCATGTCCAGATTTCTCAAAAAATGTCTATTCTATTCAGGCATGCACTTGCTGCTGCTGCTGCTGCTGCTGCTGCACCTGGACACGTTGGCGACGCAGCAATTGGCTTCAACCACCGAATACTGATTCCCAACAGCTATATAAAGTCGAATAGCAACACCAGCTTGCCACAAGTGCTTGATCCGCGCTGCATGCCTGAATGACTCTGACTATTGTCACTAGATTTCTCCACATGTTCAATAGAATTTGTAAATCCAGCTGCCTTTTGCTCAGGACTCAAGTCTAGTTCTTGCGCTGGATTCATGATTCTAGATTTATGCCCGAGGCAACCATCATTGCGAAGAAATTGCTGTTGAACTCTAGCAATTGGCAGCTATTCGTAGCCATTCCGTCAGAACGTTTCTCTTTTCCATCAGGTGTCCAGCTTTGGAATTTTCCAAGCAATTGAGCTCCATAGTTTGTTTGTGAGACTTGCCCTTCTTGTCACCACGTAGTGACAGTGACAGTGACAGGTTGGACACTGGAAAGCTCTAATCATTGAGGGATCAAAAGCTGAACGAGACATGAATTCTGTTTTCCAACTGACTTTATCAGTTTCTCAATTCCCACTGCTTCTTGCATTCTCAGTTTCTCAGATTTTATGGATTTGCTTCCTTTTTGTCATTGGCCTCGTTCCTCGGCACAGCATTGAATGCATTGAGCCGAGAGTGCAGTTTTGCCCAGAGCACCAAGAAAACAGATGTTCCTGCTAGGCTGATTCAAAAGCAAATTGCTCTGAACATGGACCAAAAAGATCTACAGTAGTGAACAGATATGACACATGTTTTTCTTGTTCCTTTCAGGTGGCCTCAGGTCCAACTGACCGGGCAGGAACACACTCAGCAGGCCATGCAAAGCCAGTGGCAGATTTAAGGCCTGTGAATGTGCCACTTGCCAAACTGGGTGGCACGGATGAAGCGAAGGTTATCAGTTATCCTTCCTTGGTGGCTGACAAGATACACAGCACAACAGATGCAGCAGTA